TATCATCAGTAATGGATGATGCTGATGTTAACTGCCCCTGGTCAGACTGGTTGTGTGTATGGGAAAGAGAAGGAAGGGGAGGGCCTGCCTGCCTGGAGGTTTCCACACAGGGCTTCGTTTAACTGCGTAGTCTGATATTTATGCCTAACACCACCAGAAAGACTCATGTTCTGGTTTCCAGTGACTCACCCTTACTCTCTTATCCATTCTCACCTAGGCTAAGCTTTTGATATATTTAGCCAGTGTCTGGTGGGGTGCCGGTGATCCAAGGGCTACAGAGAGTCTGCATTCAGCCATAAGACAGAGTGAGGACTGCATTTTTTCTGTTGCAGAAGGAGGAAGAGAGCCAGGCAGCTGGTGAGAGGAGGGAGAAGAAGAGAGGAAAAACGGGGTGGGGGGGACGCTAAAATTTTCTCCATTCAAATTGTTCTCTAATTTTTTTTGAGACAGGGTCTTGCTGTATAGTTCAGGCTCAACTTGAGCTCACTATGTAGCCCACTCTGGACTTGAATTCACAAAGATCCTCCTGTGTCAGCCTCCCCAGTCCTGGGATTCCAGCATACACCACCATGCCTGGAATTCTCTAATAATTTTTTGCAAGTCTTTGGCTCCAAATTTCTGCTAGAGGTTTCCTGCAGAAAATGAAATCACAAGTTTCTACCAGTGGATAGACTCAGAACCAACCATTTGGTCTCAGTTCAACAGTTAGTTGGATGTTTAATTTTTTTTTAACATGTATAGGCCAGCAGTTACGAGTTTATATGATATACAAATAATATAAAATAGATTTCTTTTTTGCTGTAAAAACATACAAAATAGTACATAGGTAAAATATTAACACAGGTATTCATATTTTTATATCCCACGAAGAACAAAATGTTCTGCAAATAACATCAAGTGTTCTGGATCTCTGTACCCTGAACCAGTTTGGGGTGCCCAAACCTAGAAAAATATGTGCTATATTCCTCTAGAAGACCGTGAATGGAAGATATTTATGAATAAAAGATAATCCTAAAATACACCAACTATTAAATGTCAAGTAACTATGCACTTATTTAAAACCATTGCTGAAATCATTATGAATGTTTGAGCATTCAAATCAGCGTTCCACTCTTAGGATCACAAATATAGATCTAAAATCTTTATATGGTTCTGCACCAGAATTTTGTGAGGGGAAAGCCCCCGACAACTATGTGAAACCTGAATCTCCCAACGAATCCCTTGAGCCTCTTTGAGCACCTCCACCGGGCCCTTCATTTGACCTTGAGTTCAGGGTACAACAGCCTCAATGTCTGGGGCTGAGTTATGTCCGATGTAGATCTGTGTGATGACAATGAGTTGGCTGGTAGTTTTAAGCTCACAGATACTTTATAATGGGAATTTATATTATCTTTATGGAGGTACAGATAGGAAATGGTATTCCTAAAACTGTACGCTAAACTCTTTCAATCTTAGATAATGGAACATGTCATAATGTTTTATATTGCAATTCTTAACTGCGAATTGCTCAATTGCACATTCCCCATGGCTGGAGAGGGAAGCAAAATTCCCTTTCTGTATACAGCCTTCATTCACGCAAGGCATTTTATTTATATTCTCAATTTATAAAAATCTCCTGCTGTGCAGATGTTCTCCATATGTGGAGACAGAAGACTAGAATGTACGAAGCCCACCCTTTGGGTTGCTTCAAAACTGTGCATATGGAATATTTTGCCTGTTTTTAAAATTGCAGGATATTGAATTTTGCCACTTTTAATTTTTTTTAATCAAGGTAAAAAGCTGATGTCAAGAACTTTGGTTTTCATCTTCCTATTTTAACCTTTATCTACTCTTACGGGCCTTTAGTCGTGCATGTAAAATTCTGATATTCTCCCAAGAGGAGAACAGGCACCAGGCCAGGAAGCTGCGAAAAAAAGCAAGGTTAAGTCAGAAAAGAGAAAAAGCCCGGGACAAAGCTGGTTCGGGCGTGGATGACTCTTTAAGTGATAACCACAAAAGAAGTCATAAATATATTAGACAAGAATTAAAACACAAAAAAGCAACTAGAGTGAAGGTGTTTTTATCACAGATAAATGAGACTAAACCCCAACTCTGCCACTCACCGGCCAAATACACTGCAAGAGGCACTTGCCTGGCTCCCTTGGAAAATGGGGAAATTCCCATTGTCCAGGCTCCAGAAAGCGACCTGTGTGATGACCTTCGTATAGCATGCACAGTGGGTGTGCTCTTCCCCCTCAGCTCACCCCGACCCCCTTCCTTCCTGAACGAGCACAACCACATGGATGAGCTCTGCTATCCCGAATGGGTTCTCTGTTTTATAACCTTTTCATTATGGAGAACCTTAAACACTGACAGTAAAAACTAGCATGATGCACAATGTATCTGTTACAGCATTAGCAGTTACAAGTCAGGGTTGGCTCTCCCATCTCTGTCCAATCTGCACTCTGTTCTTGTCTTAAGTTTTACCTACAAAGATTTATGTAGTGTAGATCTCTCATAGATAAGCTCTGTTTTAAAAAAAAAACTACAATCATAATATATCACACTGCAAATCTTTACCATTTAGGCCTCAATATCTTTAAATATCTAGTGTGCTTAAATTTCTAATATTTTATATAGCTGTATTGTTTGCATTTTTAGAGATTTGATTCTAAATCGTGTTCTTTTTTTTGTTGTTGTTCGTTTTGGTATCAGGAATCAAACCCAGGACTTGAGCTTGCCAGTCAGGCACTGTACAGGCAGCCGCTGTGCCGCTGAGCTATATCCCCAGTAAAAATAGCCTTAGGTCTGATTCTGCTTGAAATGTGTTAGTATTTTATTTTTGTTTTGTTTTGTTCTTTTGGTACTGGGAATCGAACTCTTGCGCTTGCCAGGCAGGCACTGTGACACTGAGCCGTATCCCGGGACCCCCTACACAGTTTTATAGTTTGATTTAGGATATGTTTTGCCAACAAATTACAAAAGTTGTGATGTTTGGGGGGTAGATTTTCTGTTTGATTTTTGAGACAAGGTCTTGCTGTGTTATCCAGGCTTAACTCATTATGTAACTCAGGCTGGCTTCAAATCTGGGGTGATCCTCCTGCCTCAGCCTCCTGAGTACTGAGATTATAGGTATATGCCACTACTCTGAAATTTGTGTCTGAAATCTGTTAGTCTATTAGCTAACATGCTCTTCTGTCTCTGTATTATATGCATTAGAGGATTCAGGTTGATTTTGTTGCCGTTGTTGGAATTGCTGTTACTGTTATTACTTATGTCCAATAAGTTATACCAACAATGTGGAGATTACCACATGGTGGTCATTAAGGCCTTTTCCTCATTGGTAAGCAGCTTTAACAAAAAATGTTTATGGCTACTGGCAAAGTCCTCTGATGTTTGCAAAATTCTCTCAGTGATTCACTTTGTCTTCTGTTGACAACCACTGGATGAGTTTGAGTAGCAGAAAAGGGGAAATTGCTTTTTGCTGCATATATGCAGTAATTTGAGGAGCATAAAATACTCTGTATGAGGGAGGAACACTGAAATACCCATGAATTTAAGCTATCGTAAGTTTTCTCAGTGGACCAAATTTTTCCTCCAAATTATGTAGGAAAATATAAATAGGGTACCTGATAAAATAAGTGGGGACATAATAAATTTATGCTATGTGTAGGATTTTGCTTTGTTTTTGTCTTGAGATAAGGTTTGGCTATGGAGTTCAGCCTGGCCTTGAACTCTGCAGCCCAGGCTGCCTTTGAACTCACAGTGGTCCTCCTGCCTCAGCCTCCCAAAGGCTGGAATTAAAGACATGCACCACTGGGGATTTAGCTCAGTGGCATAAGCACCTGCTTTGTAAGTGCAGGGTCATAAGTTTGATCCCCTGTACCAAAAAAAAAGGCATGTACCACCATTCCTGTCTAGTATGAGTAGTCTAAACAGAAGATTTTTTTTTAACATCTAAGAAACTGTACAGACTGGTAAAGTAGAGATACCAGGATAGTGACAAGAAATCATAAACACATTTCTAAATTCTTTTCCAAAATTAGGTGTAATTCATAAGTCTCCTGATGCTAATTTTACATAATAAGCTTGTAGAACTGATAAGTAATTGTGCTTGATCTCCAAGATGGAGAAAATATAGTTAGATTTCACTTTCTTATAGTTTAACTATCTTATTATATACTTCTTAACTTTTTCTTTTCAACTTATTAAAACCGTCGCAATACTCATTATTCTTTGTACTTAAATGTTTCTCATCATTCTGAGATAAAAGCCATTTTCAAATACAGTGGAAGATATTTTTCATTATTTCTTAAATCAAGAATCATTAATTTATGGATCCTAGCTTGCTCCTGGTATCTAGTAGATGCTCATTAGATATTTGTTAAATGAATTCACTTATCCAGTAATTATTATAATTAATATATCTTACTGCTCTATAGAATCACTTGTTTCATATCTGTTAATTTTATTCTTTTATGATCATAATCATGAAATATTAAGTGTGAGGCTTTTACACAGAGTAGAAATTAAATTGATTTCTCTTAAATCTTGCTGCTGGTGAACTTTAGAAGACTTTAGGTTTTCTGGATTTAATTTCACTATTTTGACTAATGGGCTTCTCTTTGCCTTAAATTTATCTGTGTTTTATTTGTGATGCCTACCTGTTTTGTTGACTTCAAAGCATTTATCTAAAGGAAGAAAGCCAGGAAAGGAGAGGACAAGAAAAAAGAGTAGAAAAAGAAAGAGGAAGGAATTGTATTAAATTTCCTCAGTATTTATATACTGGTCTTCAAAAATCCCAAATATGACTTCTTAAGACTTCAGTGTCCAAGTCTGCCTAGTAGGAAATGAGTGACCTGATTTAATGTCTGTGGATTGCAAAGCAGACCTGGCGTCATCATAGCAATTGTTTTAAGACTGGGCCCTTGTAACTATGGAGACATTACCTCACAGTGTTCTAAGAGGCAGTGCTGGCCAGATGTGAAAGTGATTGTCACAAAGGTCACTTTGCTGGTTACCTCACCCCCGCCCCAAGAAACTTTCAGAGATTGCTACACACCTTCATTGTGCTTTGTCTCCGTCCTCAGCCAACATAAGCACTAGCTATGTCAGTAGTTACATATCCACGTGAGAATTCTGTTTCTGACATCACTGCAGTAAAGAAAATGGTTAATCCGCTAAACTGAAGATAGTTGGATTCACAGGTGACGTCACCTTAAAAGCAAATTCTGCCTTGAAATTCAGAGCTCTGCATTGCTTACTGTCACGATCTGTTTTCCTAGGAAAGAAAGGAGACGTCTGTGTTAGCCAAGATGAGAGCCACACAAGAGACCCAGGGAGCTTCAGAGACCCTGCAGGGTGAAATTCACAAGCAGAACAGTAAAACAGAGACGCAAGAGCAGTAAGATTGGCACAGATGGGGAGAGCGGGGTCTCCGAGTCCTAGGGGGATAATGATGGGGTGCTTGACCTCTAAAAAAAACACCTTATGAAGTAATGAGACCTGCGACAGATCTCACAGACTTTCTGAAAATAATGAACTGTCAATACATCTATTTCCTCAACTGCTGTCTCATCTCTAAGTAACAGGAAAACTCATCTAAACACATCTTCATCGTGTCAGACCTAGTTGAGATTCCAGAGTTCCCATTCAAGGTGTTAAAGTCCCTGGCGTGTAACTTAGAATCACTTGACTCTCCTGGGGACAAAAAAATTATTAGAACGTTGGTTTTGGAAATGTCGACAAAGGGTATTGTTTAAAGTAACAGCTATGTTTTTACCACAAATATATATCATTCTGTCAATTAGTTTCCCAGCATTTTCTGCAACATGGTTTTTGCTATTGAGTACACATAATTTAAAGCTATTTGTTTCTTTGGTCCTAGGTTTCCTATAGTTATTATTCAGTCTATATCTGCTTTTTATTTGTTTGTTTTATTTGTTGCAGTACTAGAGATAGAAGTAAGTGCTCTAACACTTAGCTACTAAAATCTTATGTGACATAGGATTTAATAAAGTTGCCCAGACTGACCTCAAACTTGTGATTTGCCTGCGTCAGCCAAAATGAGTAGCTGAGATTACAGGCATATACTGACTGTACCACCACACCCAGCTCAAAGACTGTCTTTTTTGTTTTGTTTTGTTTTAATATTTTACTTTAGAAGTGGGAAACTAATGTTTGCCAAATCTCAGCAGTAACCTTGGGATGCTGAGATAAGCTTTAGTAATTGCTTCTAGTTCAGGGCTTAGTAGAGGGAGCAAAATATCAAAAAGGAGCTTGGACAATTCCTTGAGCTAAAGGAAAACTTAACCTAGAACTAAGAAAAATTCCTCTTCCAAAGAGCATCTGATAGGTCGGTGAGTGGAAGATTCAGACGATGGGCTGGATCACTTGTGCCTATTCCCTAGATGTTTAGTACTTGCCAAGATGTGTTCAGACATTGGAAAACTCTTATTCAACCACAAAAATAAAAATGCCCTGTGTGCCAGGGCCAGATTTCTCTGACTATAACATTTGAGACTTATTTGGGAATCTTTTGTGAAATTAAATTTATATGGAAATGCTGTTGTTTTACTAAAAGAAAAAACATGAGAGCTCACAATAAGAGCGTGCTGAAAAGATACAGCTCATGTGTGATGAATCCCAGATATAAGGAAAAACTCTTGAAAGAGAAAAGCACTTTCTCTGCTCGTTCGAGACAGTGAAGGGAGCATGTCATCTCATCCTGTCTCTGGCTGGACAGAGATGAAATGTTCCTCACCAACAATCTGTCGCTGGAGCCTCTTTCCCACTGACTTCCCAGCGTACTCAAGAGTGTGTCTCCAAGGGCTAGAGCTTTTCTGACAGATATGAGTGCTGGAAGTTATCAGCTGAATGGTAAGCACTCAAGCTAAGCACTCAGCTGGTAAAAATGCACTTTTCAAAGCCATTGTCATTTAATTTTATTCAAAATCTGTGGTCAGATGGCTATGCCTTTAGAGATATATTTAGAGGAGTCTCATTTTGAATAGAAATCTTTCCAGCTGCAAGATTTCTAATATTCAAGAGAACTTCCACAGTTGAGAACCAAATGATTGCAAATACCTTTTGGTAAACCCAGCAACGTGACGAACCAGGAAGCTGCTGGCCCTCATCCGCCATGGAAACTTTAAACAAAAACAAATCCAGAAACAGGCTGGCACAAGTAACTTGCAAGTGCTATGGATGACCCGTGGCAAAATATTTAAGTTCTGACTTAAGTGGATAGATATGGAACCCCAGAAGGAAGGAGAGTAGAACCCACCATTTGTTCAGTTTTTCAGAGTAAGAGTTTCAGACCTCTGGACAGTGTTCCAAATGTAAATGTTAAATACACACACACACACACACACCCCTATATGCACATACACAGCATATTTGAAAGAAGATATTAGCTATAGAGTCTTTCTTATATAGAAAAATTGATTAAGCAGCAATGGAAAATAAAAATGGTATAATATATTACAGTATGTTAAACAAGAATTATGATCTTTTTATGTTAATGGAAAAAGGAACTATAAGAGATAAATTGAAGTATAAATGGTTTATCGTCTCAGCTTTGATTAAAACATGTATTTAAAAGCCTAGAAGGAAATGATAAAATCTCTGGTTGGTGGCGTTATGTGACTATTTTCTTTTTATCACTTTTACACATTTTAAAAACCATCTATAATAATAATTTATTGATTTTCAATCTAAACTTTAAAAACAATAAAGTATGCTAAAGTTAAATAAATTACTAAATCTGGAGATATGAGCTTTATTATATTCATGTTAGATGCAAAGTGCTCTGACCAGCGGAACTCTGGGCAATGGTGACAAATATGCCTCTTTTATCCATGGCCACTTTGGCTTTCTTATTTTGTATATTATGGCTGTGTACACAGAAAAGAAGACAAACTCAGAGCGTCCCCTACGAGACATCGGTCTTCAGTACATTTTTTCTCAAAGAAGATAGACTCACAACCCATGACACTACCCATGTCACAGTCCGTGTCCTCTGGAATGTCCCTGAGTTACTACCTGTCCAGTAAAGTAACCCTGTCAACGGGGCCGCCATTGACTTCAAAATCAACTGTAATGAGCTCTTCCCAAACAGACAACATGCTCGGTAAGCAAAATACAGATCAAACACTTGTGTTTAAAGATATCAAAGCATGATTACTGTGAGTGGAGTGATGATTTTTTGTGAACTGATTGCTAGCATGCTCTGCAGTGACTCAAGATTAACATTTGCTGTGCATAGCATTCATGGTTTCTTCCTCTGAAGGCTGCCAGAAGGCTTAGGCAACACCTTGAATACTTCTTGCTTTTAGGAGACTTATACCTCAGGTGAGAAACAGATAAATGAGAAAAAACAGAAATATAAAATAGATGATAAATTGGCAGAGAGAAAAAAAGCAATAAAGTGAACTTAAAGGGGGAAGGGAATGTGGATAGTACTGCCTTCAAGATGAAAAGTTCTGACTGTTTTCAGCAAGGCACTCAGCAATCCCCACAGTTTGGGGTGTCTATTACAGGTGGAGAGGAATTTTCATGGTTTATAGGTAACATCATTGTCCCTGAAAACAGAATCAACTTTTTCTGCCTTCTTGATATGAGGCACAGGGTTCTCTCATGCACACCTGCAGAATGTGGACGTCATCCACAAGATTACTATAATCCTGTTTAGGTAAGATATATGCAAAAATGGCCTTGTGTGTGAAGATACAGACAACTATTTAGAAGAAAACAAGAGACATTATGGCAGCCACTGGCTTTTTTTTTTTTTTAATTTATTTAAGGAGAAAAACAAAAAAAAAAAAACAGAAAAAGGGTACAAGTTATACAGAATTTCAAAAAAAATAAACAGTAGAAAATCACTAATAGATTACATATTGTCATCTTAGAAATAGTTGTTCAAGTTACAAAATTAAAGCATATAAAGTAGACATTCAGTGAGACTGCAAACAGTTCTGTTCAATGATCCAACAAAAACTCAGTAATGTTATCTATCTTATTATGCTTAAATATACATGCAGTTATATCCTTTAGAGCACTTTCTTTTCCTCTCTTTTTTTACAATGACAATTACACATTTTGGGTTTTATTACTCCCACAGTTCTTATTATTTTTTTTGAAGAGAATAAAAACAAATGTGACATAACAAAACAGAGTCAGTCAAATCAAAAGGATGGACCTAGTACATAATGTAAAAACAGAATACACGGTGATCAACAATGGTTACCATAATGCCTCTTGCCATCTTAAAAAAAATTGCCTATATCATCAGTTATAATAATATTGAACAAAACAGTAAAGAACAAAACCAATAAAACCAAAACATTGGAGACATTACAGGACTTCAAAAGAAGATATTAGTCAAACCAGAATGGACATCATAGTGAATCTTATTGTCTTCACAGTTGTTGCCTATACTCTCAAACTTGGTACTATCAAGCAAAACAGAATAGAGTAAAATCAGTCAAAACAAGATGGTGAGAGCAATACAGTGTTTCAAATCAAGCTAATAGGAAATCAAAGTGGGTTACTATAATATATCCTGCTATTTTTTATTTTTTCCCTTAATTAAAAAGATAAAAATAAGTAATAAAAAAGGAGATTGAGATAAAAGGACATAACAAAACAGCACAGGTCAGAACATAACCATTTAAGCAAAACAGTGTTTCACCACAAGATATCCCAACATAAAAGGAGTTACCATAGTGTCTCTTTCCTTGAAATCTTTGAATATAACTTCATATACTGTAGCATCAAACATATCAAGACAATGTAAAGCCCTTCAAGAGAATGACAGTATTACAGGGTATTTAGAACCAACTAACAGAAAATGAACAATGGTTTCTGTATTATCTCCTTGTCTATAAAAGTTTTTGTTTATATTATCACATATAATAAAATCCAATAAGATACAACATGTTAAGACCAATGGAGACAGAAGAACAAAAGCTTGATGGACTTCAAAACAAGGTGATATTAAATCAGCACTAGCTATTATGATGCCTTGTTTTCTCCAAAATAGCTGTTCCTACCATCTAACCTTCTCTGCCTCATTTCTGTTGAGCTCTTTTTCTGTCATTAGTTGTCAGTTTGTCTTCTTCATTTCACTTTCTGCTACATTCATTGTGGCCTCTTTGCCACTGTTTCTGGAATCTTGGTATTTTTCTCTTTTCGAATGTCCTGCAGTATTCTCTGTAGAGTTGAATTGGTGGTTGCAAATTCCTCTAGTTCCTCTTTATCCTGGAAGCACTTTGTTTTTCCATTAATTTCCAGGGACAGTTGTGCAGGATATATCAATCTTGGCTGGAGGTTATTGTCTTTCAAAGTTTGAATTATTTTGCCCCATGCTCTTTGTGATTTGATGGTTTGTGCCGAGAAATCTGCTGTATTCTGACGGGTGTTCCCTTGTAAGTGATCTGTTCCTTGTCTCTGACAGCTTTTAATATCCTGTTCTTATATTGGATTTCTGGAATTTTGATTATTATATGCCTGGGTGTAGCTCTGTATGGATTGTAGGTGGCTGGGGTCCTGTATGCCTTATAGATCTGAGTATCTTTATCTTTTCCCATATTAGGGAAATTCTCCTTGATTATTTCTGTGAATAGCCTTTGCAGTTCATTTGTTTGTATCCCTGCTTCTTCCTTTACATTATTAATTCTTAAGTTATAGATCCTATCATCTTCTAGCCTTTGTATTGTTACTGCTTGTGTCCTTGCTATTTTTAAGAAGTTTTTCCTTTCATGCTCCCACATTACAAATCTGTCCTCCAGATAATCTATCCTTAGTTTCTTTCAAGCTGTTATGCCAGCTTTCAATAGATTTTTTAGTTTCCTGGTAATCACTTTGAACCTGTTTCATGTATTTTATGTTTTCTCTATTTTCTCCATCAAACAATTCTCCCCTTTTTTTCTGTTCTTCCATTCCACCATCTGTTTTTTCTTGGGAGGTACTTAGCATTTCTCTAACTATTCTACTTATATCTTGCTTTATTTTGTTAAATACTTCACTTTTGAACTTGTCTATGAGGTCCCAGAGATACCACTTTATGTCTATTGGTGCTGTGCCTGGTATTACATGTTTTCTGTCCTCATTCTCCTTTGCATTTACCTTTCCAGGTTCAGTGTTCTCAAGATTGGGGACCGAGGACCCTTTCTTGTTGCTCCCTCTTCCCATACTTTTTGTTCCTTTCATACAAGCATTTATGGGAGGCCCAGTTTCTTTCTTTGTCAGTTACAGTTTGTTTGAATCACGCCAGCTAGGTGTTCCTGCCCACTGCTGTGTACTGGGGTGACACAGACCTAGGTAGCCTATGCTGGGCCTGCCCTTCCAGGTCAGTCAACCTACTGAAGGCTTCACTGCATTAGGGTGCACTGCCAGGCACAGGGACCTGGTTTGGGCTAGCCTACTGGGTCTTATTAGTCTGCAGCATCACCCAGGTCAAGCGCTCCCCACCAGTCCCACTTGAGAGGGGAATATGTGATTGAAGTCACTGCAGCATCCTTTTCTGGCTAGTCTGCCTGGTCCCAGGATGTCCTCTGATAGAGCCTCGTAGTCTATGGAAGGGTCCCTGTTCCTCTCACCGCAGGTCAATGCGGAGCTCCCCACCAGCTGTGCTCTCAATTCAGTTCCTGATTCCCACTCTCAGAGCTTTCACATCTCTATCCCTGCTGTGCCAATTCAGATGCAGCAGCGGTGGCAGGAAATTCAAGCTTTGGTTTCCAGAGGTGCGGGTTCCAGCTTCAGCATGAGACTTTAGCTGTTCCAGTCGTAGCACCAGGATTGCATTTCCAGTTGGTTTCTCTCAGGTTAGTTTGTTCCTGGGTTGGCAGGGTATATCTCCCATGCTTAGGACTCCCCACACCACACCATTCCTGGAATCCAAGCTGGCTATCTCAGAGAGCCTCCATAGCTGCTGTTATCTATCCACCATGTTCTCCCAGAAGACGGCAGCCACTGTTGATCTCCTGTTGTCCTGCTTTGAAATCTGTGTCACTTACATTGTTTTCTTCTGATCTGCTTTGTTCTGTGTTGTTATGTTTGTTTTACCCTCTTTAAAATACATTTAAAAATGGCCAAGCACATAATATAGCACATAATAATTGCTCAGCAAAAATTAATTGTAAATTTTAACACACCTGTAAACATGTCCTCTTAGAATATTCTAAATTTGAAAGCTATGTTTCAATTAGCAATCAAGTAACATGTTTCAAGCTGGTACCATAAACACTCCCATGACTATCTGAAGCCTCTGTTTCCTCTGGCACTTTGTGCATATTTATAGTCTGGCTGCTTCTCATCTATATTTAACTTTGTTTTCGGTATTGTCTTAAACTTTTGACATAGTATCATACTGGTTTTATCTTGCTGCCTTTAGAGTCATATTTCTTATGTTTCACGGTTTGTATGAATAAAGATAAATTTTTCAAGAAGGTATCTAAGTTTATACTGGCCTTTTGCAATAACCAAAATCCATATGCTTAGAAATACAAATTTCCCACCCTACATATACATATGTAAACATATATGTATATGCATACATGTGCATGCATTTGATATATATGTATAGCTATTCATAAAATTTGTTTTATATTTGAATTAAACTATAAAAGCTCTTAGTGTGCAGTAAGCAAAATCTAAGGCTTTCTTTGCAAGATGAGAGATGCACTGAGGTGTTACCTTCTTTACTTTGTGTAGATTCTGCTTCTGTAAATGGATGCCTGAGCCCACTGAGACCTGCTTCATTTGGTTCATTCACTGTTGTTCCAGATGAAATAAAAACTAGGAGAAAAAAATTAATGTTTCTCTTCCTTTAGAACTACAAGACTTTCATCAGTCACGTTTAGATGTTACAAGCATGTCATACATTATCCTTCCCCAAAGGAATTTAAGGATTAAGTAGAAACTTGCTTGACTAGGAAAGAACTAATTCAATTTTAAGTGTTTCTCTGAGGAATCTTTTAATAACTCTTGTAACTTAGCATGTTTAAACTTCTGGACTCAATCCCCAGCACCAAAACAACCACACACACACACACACTATGATTTTTTTTATACCTTTAAATCTTTCACCTTGCTTTGCCATTGTTAAAGAGATAAAAACTTAGAGCAAATCTAGATAGTCTTAATTCTTCAAAAATTTTTAGCTGTCATATTCTGAGTAGCAGCTAAATCCTGGACACTGTGCTACACACATGCCTGTCCCATTCCAGTCCTTGTGTCTCCTTACACAAGGTAGCATTGTCCTTATTCGGGGTTCAGGAAAACTGAATGGTAAGTCCAAGTCATCTGGTGTGGTCAGTGGTAGGGTGGGGTCACAACTGCAGAGCTGTCTCTGTCCACAACATGTGCTTTTCCACTTCACCGTAAGGCACCTTTGTACCAGAACTTCTCTCTTGGTGGACACAGAACCGCACTCAGCTGGTGTGGTTTTATATGCAAAATTATGAGCTCTTTTGTATTTTGATCTGAATTAGTGAAAATTTCAAAATAGCAAACTTCTCAAGGCTACTAGAATCTACTTAAACCTTACTTTATCTTCCTAACGAAGTATGCACTTTAGCTGATAGAGAAAGTTTAAGTCTTTATCTGGCAAAAACAAGAACCATTAGTAGACAATAATTCATTTGAGGCTTTCATTTATGAGTCATAATTTAAGGGGAAATAAGTTTTATATGCACTAAGGATATACTCACATTTAACATACACAAATTTGGCAGACTCAAATATTTTGCCTATTCAATAACTACTAAAAAATGACTGAACTAGCGATTTTGCTAATAATTGATATTATAGTATAACTAAATAATTACTTAGTCACTATGTTAGTAATACTAAATAATAAAATACTACAAGTAAATAATCACTTAGTCATTGTGCTAACAATATCATTCATAGTTTAAGATATGTGAATCATCTCCAGGAATTGATGACATCACTAAAAATATTGATTATTATTTAGGTTTTCCTTTAAGGCTTCTATCTGTCTTCTCACTGAGTTTGACAGTGACAGTAAGATATATAGAGAAATACAGTTTTGCAGCAACAGGAAATAAAGAGAATGGCTTAAGGTTCTCTTACTGTGTATTTATTTGTTGTCATCTCTCGCTTGCTTCCCTATTTAATTACTTTGAAAGGAAACAGCAGCATGCTGCTTTCAAAGAACCAAATCTTTGATCCTGAGTCATCAGTAGCTGGAGATGGAGAGGATTATTTCCTTTCTTTGTTTGGTGATCCCAAGAAACTTATTGCACGCTCAACCTATGCCAAGGATCCTAACAAACATTTCTCCGCAATTCTTGAAGAAGTTGGTAAATCTATATCCAGGTAAATAATAATCCAAATAATTCTATTTGAATTACTTAATATTGTCCTCTGGGATAGGACCAGAAAGGTAACAGAAAACAATTGTGATTTGTTGTTAGAGCTATTTGATCTTAAACCCTAAGCATTTCATTGCAATATAACTGTTTAATGTTCTGAGCAATTAAAAGCAATTGACTCAATTTGCTAGAGGACTGAACAAAAAATGTTAATTCTTCAAAAAATGCCAAAAGAAATCATGCTACATTATCATCTCTACAAATACAGCTAGCTCAATTATTCAAGAACCTTTTTTATTGTTGGTAAATCATTCAAATGGACTTAATACTTTTGTTTCTTCTCGTAGGTTCTTGAATTCAAACCAAAAGAAGGGATATAAATTTTTATCTCATTGGGCTTTTATTATTGTTATACTTATGGCAAAAAGAATTGAATGGGAAGGAAGTTGAATTTAGGATTTTAGAAGAGCTGAGTTATCTGGTCATTCATTTAACCTTTATTTATTGTATGAACATTAGTTTGAAACATTAGTAAGCAACGCATATTGATGGAAGGTGCTAAAGAGCTAAAGAGAAGTCGTTTGGTAGCATTAAGTGTCATATATAAAGAAAAATGTTTTCTCTTATGTCATGCTCCTGAAACCAATCACTCATGCCCTGCTGCCATTTAAACTGGGAATCAGGAGAATCTACACACACTGTCTCAAAGGACTTCATCAAAGTCTTCAGTACATTCCATGTTTAAAATTATGACTTATTTGGGGCAGACTTTAAAGATTTCCAAATATGAAAGTAAGAACTTACATTAAGGTCTGTAAAGACCTATAGGTATGCTTATGAGGCCCACAAGATACCACAATATTAGAGAGCTTGCTTTCTGCCCCAGGGACTGGGAAGATTTGGTAAAGAAGTGACCATGGACGCTAGATTCTGAAGGGCAGGTGAGTCTGGAATATGCAAATTTGGAAATTAGGACTATCTCTATTGGTTTTTAGCACCCAATAGAATCACAAAGAGGAGAGGCTTTTAATGTCCTGACCCTCCCTGACACTGAATCAAAATGTCTAATGGTAGAATTGGGCAATTGTTACTTGTTTATTTGATTTATTTTGGTTTTTTAATCCTGTGGTGATTTTAATGCACAGTCAGTGTTGAGAACCATTAACCTAAAGCAAAAATAGAGCAAAATGAATGTGGCAGAAAAGCTGAGAGCAGGTAAAAGAAATCACCGTGTCATGTGAAACAGGGTGACAGAGAGATCACAATGAGCCTCGAATTTCAGACTGAAGAATTTGGACCTCATTTTGGGCAATGAGAAATGATGAGATTTTGAACAATGGAATGAACCAATCACGGTCCAGAACATTTAATCAAGACAATGAGTGTTATACATGGATATTGGATTTTTGTCAAATAACTTTGAATGCATCTGTTATGATGATTATGATTTTTCTTTTTCAATCTTAAAGCCACAAACTGCATTCTTAGAATAAACCTCATTTGGGCAATGTTTATTCTTTTAATATGTTGTTGAATTCCTTTGGCAAAATTTTGTTTCAAGCTTTTGTGTCTGAGTTTGTAAAAATATTGGTCTGTTTTTTCTTTTCCTGTAATGTATTTGTCTGCTTTGCTGTCAAAGTAATGCTTACCACATGGAATAATAATCTCTCCTCTTTCTTTTCCTAGAATAGTTTGCATAGCAAGTAGTATTACTTTTGCCTTACATGTTTTATAAACTTGATTAGTGATCTGAATCTAGATTTTCTTTGTGGGAAAGATTTTTTTTAAAAAAACATACAAATTCTATTTCAAAGTGGGTATTAGGCTATCCTGTTTACAGATTCCTTCTTGAGTGAATTTGGATAGTTTGTGTCTTTCAAGGAATCATCCATTTCATTTAAATTGTCCAATTTACTGGCATTGGATTCCTCTCTCAACATCCTTTTACTCCCTGTAGAACCCATACTAATATTATCTTTTTCATTCTTGATCATCCTTTGTGTCTTCTCTTTTTTCCTGATTTGTCTTATTTAATATTTAATAGTTTTATTGAGCTTCTCAAAAACCAGTGTTTGCATAATTTATTTTCTCTATTGTATTTTTGCTTTCTATCTCATTGGTTTTCATTTTGTTCTATTTTTTTTTTCTTTTACCTACTTTGGGTTCCTCCTTTCTCCTCCCCTCCCCTCCCCTGCCCTCCCCTCCCCGCTCCTCTCCCCTCCCTTCTCATCCCCTCCCCTCCTCTCCTCTCCTCTCCTCCCTTTCCACCTCCTCTCCTTTCCTCTCTTCCTGTTACTTAAGGTAAAAGTTACATCACTGATTTGACACCATTTTCTCATCTAATATTTTTACTGTTATAAAATCTCCCCTAAATACAGCGTAATCACTTCCTACCAACTTTGAAATGTGTTTTATTTTCACTAAGTTCACAGTACTTTCAAATTTCCTTTTGAATTTCCTCTTTGACCCTTGAATAATTTGGAAGTGTTATTAAATGTTTCCAAATATTTTACAGATTTTTCAGTTCAAATGATTTTCCCAATGTCTTCTTGCTGTTGATTTCTGGTTAAATTCCATATAGTCAAGGAATATATTTTAGGGTTAGGATCATTTCAATTTGTTGAAATTTGTTTTATATTCAGGATATTGACCTTTATTATTTTTTGGTAAATGTTTAGGGTGTACTTGAAAAGAATGCATATTCTGCTGCTGTTGCCTAATGTGCTTCATAAATATCATGTTGTTTGATAGTGTCTTTTTGCATTTCTTCTTTTTGCTTCTATCAGTTAAGAGGGGTGTTAAATATGCTACAATTGTGAATTTGTTGATTTCTTCCTTGCAATTCAATTTTGTCTCATGTATTTTGAAGCTTTGTTATGAGGCCCCAAACCATTTAAGAACCCCAACTATACCCTCCTGATGAACTGACCCTTGTGAAATGACTTTATCCCTAACAATATTCTTTGTTCTGGAGTCTAATTGACCTGATTAATTAATTAATATATTAATAATTAATATATTAATATAGCACAGCAACTATATATATATATATATATATATATATATGTTTTCCTATCCTTTTACTTCTAAAACTATGCATTCGTATTTAGAGTGCATGTTTTATATAAATTCCATATAGTTCAGACTTACCACTTTAGTGAATCTGACAGTCTCCTTCAATTTGGACCCTGGTTCATTTATACAGTGACTATTAATACACTTATGATTAAGTCTGCCATTGTGTTATTTTTATTCTTGTTACAATTGTTTTATGTTACATTTTTCCTTCTTCTATATCTTGCTTTGAATGAATTGAGAATTATTAGTAAATTCATTTCTCTCCTTTGTTATGTAGTTGTAATTGTTATGTTCATAGTTGCTTTCAGTTTTATGTGCTAAATCTTGAATCTATGATAGACTTTCAAGTGGTATTAAAAACCTTATAATAGTATACTTTTATTTCTGTCTGCCTGGCCTTTGTCATACATTTTCTTCTACATGTTATTTTCCTTTAGTTAATTTTTAAAATAAAATTAAATAATAAAAGTCTCATACAGTGTATTTACTCTGATATGTTTGCTCTTTTTTCTTCTCTTGTCTGTAGGATATATTTCCATGCACAATCACTATTTTACCACCTGTAAAAAATATCCTTTAACATTTATTGCAGTGTGAATTGCCTTGTAGTAAATTGTGTCCTTGGCTTTTATATACCAAAAAAAAAAAAAAAAAAAAAAAAAAAAAACTCTTGATTTTACCTTTGTTTAAAAAAGTTATTTTCCATGGGTGAAGAGTTCTATGTTGGTGGTCTATTTCTTTAGTACTTTAAGGTGTTACTCTACTATCTTATTATCTACATTGTTTGTAAAAATAAAAAAATAGCTTTCTTTATTATATATTTGTTTCCCTGCTTACACGTGTCTCCTTTTTCTCTACTGTGGGCTTTAAAGATGTTCTCTCTATAGCTGGTTTTGGAAGAGTTGATTATGACACGTATTGGTGTAATGTTATTTGCATTTCTTAAACTTGAGTTGATTAAGTTTCTTTGGTTTGTGGATTTACAGACTGGATTTGAAAAATTTGAAAGAAAGTTAGCCATTATCTTTTCAAATATGCTTTGATTTCCCCTTCAAGGAACTCAAATTACACACATATTAGGACCCTTAAAATTGAACTGCAATTTTCTAATGCTGTTATTTTTTCTTTTCAGAATTTTGTCTCTGTGTTTCTTTTTGGATAGAGTGTTACTGTATCTTTCTGTTAGTCACGCTTCATTAGAGGAGTAGAGTCTATAGCCATACAACCCTAAAAATGCCCAACCTTGTCTTTAGAGGAATAGAATCAATACAAAATATGTGTTAATTATGCAAGGGAATTTGCTAAGCAGATTTACAGGATCAGAAGTGAAGAATCCATAATGCTCTGCCTGCTGAAGAACCGAAGAATTCAGTAGCTGTTCAGTCTAAAGAGACAGAAGCTGCATGCCCAGAGAGCTCAAGGGTGCACAACTGTTCCAGAGCCAAAGCCCTGAAAGCTCACACGGAGACAAGGATATGAGTCCATGTAAGAAAGCTGAAGGAGCTAAAGACCAAGGTCCGAAGGTGATGAGGAAGATGAGAGCGCTTCAGAAATGGGCACACTTCCTTCTTCCCCTTTTTATTCCATCCACGCCACAAGCCTATTGGTGGATTCCACACACCAAGATGAATCTTCCCTCTTCGATTGGCAGGCCTGTATGTCAGTCATTCACAGCACATCAAGAACTGTGCTTTGCTAACCTGGTAGGCTTTCTTAATCCATTCAAGTTGATATCGGTCCTAATCTTCAGGTTCAATGATCTTATTGTCTGCAATGATCACTTTTTTGTTAATACTGCATTTCTTTTTATCGTAGCCATTTCTCTGCATTCCCTATTTAATCCTTTCCTGTAGTATTCTGAATGCTCAAATACAATTATAAGGATTTTTTCCCCTTTCTTACTATTTCTAATATCTGTATCACTCC